CAACAACAACAACAACAACAACAACAACAACAACAACAACAACAACAGCTGCAAGAAGCTACTAGTCACAAGGGCAGTAGACTACTAGTAACACCAGTAACAAGGGCAGTAGACTACTAGCAAGAAGCTACGAGTAAAAACCACCTGGCCAAGGTGCACGGCACACGGGCAACCGCCAAGTCATCGGTCGCCGAGGTCCAAGTCGCCTTGGCCAACTCCTCCGTCGCTTCGAGGCCTCGGCCGGGCCGAAAAGGGGTCCGACCGGAGGGCCACACCTGTGGTGGCTGGGCCGAACGGCTGGGCCAAGCTTGTAGGAAAAATGATTCATACTAATATATATATATATAGAGAGAGATATATATATAATATATATATATATATTATATACTGTGTATTTAATGTATATATATGTATTATAAAATTATATATGCGAGATGGGAAAGTCCATCCTCTCTCAGAATGTATGCCATACTGTATGTTTAGGGGACCAATGTTCCCCCAAAAACTCTGCCCATGGTCCATGCGTGATGTGTTGCCACTGCCCTGGATATGGCAACCCTGAGCGTTGCGGAGAAGCTAAAATTAGGCAAATTCCTGCAATTAACTTGCTTGCTTCCTCTTCTGGATTTTTGGGTTGTGTTATTGGTGCTATTATGACCCGTGTTTTGGAGCACAAAAACATTGTCATTGTCCCCTCAAAACAGTTGCAAGGGCTCTCCGCGGTCGATACCCATTCGTTACCGCAGCCACCTTCTGCCCTTCGCATCTCTCAAGAAAAGGTCTGTTGTCCGGTTCGACGTCGGCCCTTCGCGTCTCTCAGGACCCTCACCAGCCATGGCGACACCGCCCCGGCGACACCGGGTGCGCTCGGCTCCACGGTCCAAACCGGTCACGGCCACGAGGCGAGCGGCGGGGTGCGGAGCGGTTTCAGGATGACCAGCGAATGATCCTGTGAAAGAAAAAACAACAGAATAATTATATAATATAGGATTCAAGAACCTGTTACCCTTGGCTCGAAGACTTGGGCCGCACCTCGGCCCAAGTAGGATCTGGGTGTCGGAGCAGTGTGGGAACGATCGACCCGTTCCACGCGAAAGAACACAAATGGCTCGACCCCAAAGAAGTGTACTCAACAGCCCAGTGGACGCCCAGCATGTGTCGAGCGCTGCGGTTTTCACTGCTCACACTCAGATCCCGGATGGACTTTCATCAGTTCATCGAATGTCCGAGAAGTGGCGGAAAGACGTTCGGAGGATCTTAGAGCTGTTCATAGAGCGTAGAGCTCAGTTGAGCAGCTCTCTTTGCCACGGAGCTGTTCATGGTGACCCACACAAAACGATGTGTGGTTCGCTGTGCCACCACACCACGCCCAGGTGGGAAGAAAAATCCTGATAGAAGGATCTTACCCCAGCTTTCCCAGAAGTCTCATCACCATTCCCCCATGGGTTTCAACAGTTTACCTCAATGTTCCGCGTCCCCCCACCATTCCCATTCGCCCCAAGAAGCGCCCTCCATTCGCCCCGCAGTGAGTGAAAAGCCTTTTTGGCCTCTTCCGAAGCGGACGTGAAGCACCCTGACGTTCCACGGGTCAAGCAGGGTAAGGTGCTTTTGTGGGCGGGTAAGGTGCCTGGATTTCGGGGGAGTGGACGGTGCTTGCAGAACCCCAAAAGAGATGCGTTTAGCCAAGTCATGGAATCCGTTCCTCCCACGAACATCTCAGCTTGGTGTCTGACACTTCCAAGCTTCCCCATTAAGAAAACCTTCCATCACCCACACCTTCGAACCATCTGCACTAGGGCACACTTGCCACTTCCAAGCACTGAAAAGCTCCCTCATCCAGACGGACGGCCGAGCACCTCGGCCTTCATCTGCAGAGCACCCCAGCCTGGGATGCCACGGGGAGTGGAGATTGGCCTTGCTGGTAACCAACACCAGAATGGGTCGCCAGCCCCTGGTGTTTGGCCAGCACAAAAAGATCGAATCGCCACTGGTGTTTGGAGCCAATCGACACTCAACCCCCCCCTTAGAAAGAAAAGTATAATGAAGGCAGAAGCGTGTGCTCTCCACAATCCCTTAAATCAGGCCATGACATCATGGCATTTCTGGTCCCAAAAACGGAAGACTTTATATAGACCTGAAATTGTTAATGCGAATGCCTCAATGAAGAAAACCAATGGTAAAGCGTAGCAGCGAAAGCACACAAAATGCCCCCACATCTTGTGCACATGTTCAACTCCAAGAACATGCCAGACCTTTTACACCCAAACATATCAGCAGAAATTAGACCTTTTAAGAAGAAGACGCTGTTGCCCAGACCTTTCTTGGACATCGCTCCCATCCACCGATCCCCATCCACCAACTGGGGTTTCCAGGCATCACACAGCACGAAGTCCACCGAGCTTGGCACCTCAAATAGGGGGAAAAGACCGGACCGGTGTCCTGTCGTTGTCGGCGCGTGGCTACGAAAAAAGAAAGTGACGAGCACGAGCATTCCTCGAAGATGGGGAGGAAGCGCCGTGGGGAAGCCGGCTCGCGCCGTGTTTCCACGGGAGGAAGCCGAGCGCTGTCGCACGGCTCGCCGTGTCGAGAGATCCAAACTATTAGAAACTCCTCATAGGAGTGGTGAGGGAAGTCTGCGGCTTCCATAAATAATAGCGAACGTATATGTACAATCAGATATAAAACTGGTGCTTTTTGCTTTTGCACGGCTTGGATGTCCATGGATTCCCAGGTGTTGATGATGGAAGAGGTGGGGCCAATGACCGCAACTTGCATCAATATAGCGAACACATGCGGCATGAGGCATTCAAAACCCCACAGGGTACTGTATCTTTCTTGGCAATTATCATACAATTGATTCTACCCCGTACCCAAAAAAACGGTGTCTTTTTGTGTGGGGACAAAAATGGAGGCTGTTCTTGAAGGCTTCGACTCATCGTTCACGATGTTGCATGGATAATGATGCATACACTCCGACTCACTTGCATGGAAGTGGAAAACCCCCTGTGTGTAAAGGAAAGTAGTCTTCCGATGAGGCCATTTTCCCCTTCCATGTTAGTGAGTCAGAGTGTATATCATTTGATGATTTGGTAGATCAGTTACAGTAGTTTAACTGATGTCTTTGTAAAGTTGTATCAATGCGCAACCTCATGTTCTGCGCAGCGGCAAAGTAGCATGAACATTTTGTCCGACCAGCCTGCTGCTGGCCGTGAGCATTTGGCAAACCTGGCCGAGCACTTTGCATTCATACGCTCGGACCTTAGGCTGTCCAATGTGTGGTGAAACCCTTCCCTCACAGCCCCTGATGGAAGTGGAGAGGCTTTCTTGGACCAGTTGAAATAACTTCGATGAGGACGGCTGAGGGAGGTCCCCAAGAATTTCAGTCCGTCCGTCCACCAAAGAAAAACGCTGCTGTTCCTTGGGCATGACTCATGACCCTCAAGGCCCCCCCCTTCACTCCTCACTTCTCACATGGCCTCGTTTGGCCATCTTCACTTCGAGGCAGCCCGGCTTGAGCTCCAATCGCCGGGAGGCACACTGAGTCCTCGGTAGTGACGCAGTGGGAACTCGCGGCTCCTTTTCAGGGTGTCCCGACCAGGCAGGGTCTGCCTTGATCGATACGTTGCACGATTTGGGAACTGGATCATGTGCCATCCTGGTCAAAGGATGGAAAGGGTGGCTGGATCCTGTTCGCTATTGCTTTGCATGGTGAAGGGGATCCTGCCACACGAAATTCCAACCAGCTGGTGAAGCTCTTCGACCGAGGTCGGAACCCTGGCATCCGGCCGCCGGATACTTTGCACGATCTGAACTCGGAACATGCTTTTGGTCGACGCTCGCGTTTGATCCAGTCATGTCCACCCAACCGCCAGGCCTACAAGATAGAGAGATGGGGTGCACATCCACCAGTTGCAATATTCTGATCGCCCTGCTAAAAAATGAAACACTGATCACTGAATACATCTAAGTCTGGCACTGCACTTGGCACACAGAGGATGATATTGCTTGGCCTGCCTACGCAACAGAGCTTGCTGCCATCGCATGGCATACTGTACACAAAATGTACAACATGAGCTCTGACCTCCCCAAGTGCCCGCTTGGAAGCGTCTTTTCGGTGCCAAGTCTCCACAGCTGTCCCAAAGCCAAAGAACCCTCGCCCACCGTGTGGGAGAGAATCAACACGCAGGCTCCCCGTGCAGTGGCGCCTCGATTCCACATACACACACAAAAAAAAGAATGGATTGGGACTGCTCTTTGCGGGCATGGTGAATTGCCCTAGAAGCGTGGTGTCCCTACGATACTTCGTAGGTGCCAAAAAGTTATGCATTTGAATGTGTGTGTGTGTGTGCGTGCGTGTCCCCCTGTTTCAAAGGAATAGACACGCAAAATCAGTTGTACAAATGCAGTGGGCAGCACATCACTGGGCCGTCACTAACAAAGCTCCAGTGATGTAGCCAGGAGCGCCTCGGGGCATTGCCACATGCCGCAAAGAGCGCCATGCCCAGGCGAAACGCCACCTCTGTGTGCCGACCGCACAAATCAGGCCCAGAAGGCTGACGGAAATGCTCACCCTAACGTCACCCATGTGTTCTCTTGAAACAGAAACAAATACTGAACTAGTTGGTATTCTAAATGTTCATACTTGACTCTATTGTTGAAACTTGCTGCCATCTGAGAACACCATTTGGATGAGGCACTCTCCTTGTCACCCCACTGAATCATGAAAAAACTGTGAAAAGAAAATGCATCCTGGATGGGTCATGTGACATGTGGGGGTATAGATCCTTTGGGTTCTACATGTATTTGTAAACTGGAGCCAAGTTACAGCAAATATACATATATGTACACGTAATACATATCCATCTACCATCATATGAATATGTATGTGCATGTCTACCTCCACCAAAAAGTGAAAAAAAAGATGGGGGGACCGAGCAACACCCCCAAGATCCCAAGATCTCACCAACAACCTCCGGTGTTTCTTTTCGTTCTGTCACAACACCTCTGTATGGCTCAAACGACACGGCAAAAAAAATGTCGATCAAAATGGCCAACTCCAGAAACAGGTCGCCCGGGAGAGTTCCGTCTCTGGGTCGCCGGATGCGCAACCAAACACTCCGGTTTACCCCTCGGTGTCGCGCACTGGCAGCTCGCCTGTGTGCCCAACTCGTGGCTGAGGTAAAGGGCGACCTGGTCACCGGAGAAACATGGCTTCGATGGGCGAAAACGGTACAGATCTGAACATCCGAGAATGGGATCTGAACATCTGAGAATGACTCGAGTTCTACTTCGATCGACTTGTCATCTGGCATGAAGAGAGACCCCACAAATGTTGCATGGTTCGAAAATACCCATGCGAGCCGGCAAATACATACATCAAATGTCAAAGCACATTTGAGGAGATAGAACATCGAACATTGCGGCAACTCTTCTCATATGTGTTTCTCCATGTTTTCCTTTAGTCGGCTTTTTAGGGCCCAATATATAAAAGAAACTCCCCAAATTCAAACCAAACGAATTGGATAGAATAGGGCCCTCTTCAAATTGAGTAAGATGGGAGAGGTGTACTGGATATGATATGTTTGACAATTTAGTGAGACAAGCACCCAGGCGCTTGCCTTCTAGTAAGGTGGCATGTGTTCGCCCAAATCACGACCTCGATTCCCAGCCATGGGGATTGAAAGCCTGCTTCCGGCAGTCTCCACAAGCAGGAGCCACAACCGAAAACGCTCCACCGATCCAAGCGTAGCGACCGACCAGGCTGGGGCCTTGCTGCTAGCCCAGCACACTTCTGCCCGCCCATCCGCCCGCTGTCCCCCATTCCGCCCCGGACAGCAGCGTCGTCAGGCCGTCGATGATGACCTGGAGTCGTGCGTATGCGTATGCGTGCGTCGCGGCGCGGGCATCGAAGCGGAGACGTCCCCAAAAAGGCTGGAGTGTTGAATATGGGTTGTGCGCCTTGTGGAAGCACCTGATCTCCAAAATGGAACTGAAGTTCACCACCAGCCAGTGGAAATGCAGATCTACGATGCTATAGCAATCTCTCTACTACAGGATGGGACTTCATCAACATGGCCCCCGGTCTCAAGGAAGACTCTCACTCTCTCACAAGCTTAGCACGCAGCTTCTGAATGGATAGGCTTGAGTGTAAAAAACACAAGCTGTTCTCTTTCCCCCCCTCCATCTTCTGTTCAGGCCCAACTGGCCCGAGAGACACCTCTCATCTGGCACCTTCAAAGTTTCACGCTTCAAACTGCGTGAAGAAACTGGTACACTGAGAGGCAGTGGCAGAAGGAAAGCGATCGAGGCACTGCCCACACCAGCACTCTTCAGTCAACCTCCTTTCAATGAAGGATCCCTTCCAAGCATGCTTTTCCAGGGCCTAGCAAATCGACAACATGATGAGAGGCTTTTGATTTGGGTCCCTAAGCGGTGGGCGGCAGAGCCTCCTTCTGTACAGCTGACAGCCACATCTCTCTTCTCTCTCCCTCTCAATCTCTCTTCTCAACTCGGCGCGGGTCTACACCCGCGCCGAGATCAAAAGCCCATAACGTGAAGCTCAAGCTCGGCCCAGGTGTACATACCACCCAGCTCCAACGCCATTCCCAGGTGGGGTGCGAGCTGCAGGAACCCTCGCACTCAGAAAGGTTCCCGCGGCTCGAAGGTGGCCGCAGCACCGGGCTTCTTGTCGATGAGGTAAATCTTGCCCGTGCGCACCTCATCCTCAGGTGGATGAAAAAAGATAAACAAACTATGTTCACCTTCACTAGCGCACGGTGCGGTTAAGGGCAGCACCTAGGCTAGAACTCACGAATTACAAAAACTATAATTAACTGCAACAGGTGCGTAGTCTGGTCACCCCAGAAAAGCTCAAAAGAAAGAAACCGATCTTCTCTCAAGTCGCAGACCGGACCCATCGTGTCGGCCTGTGAAGGAAAGTAGATAAGGCTTAAGGGGCCGATGTTTGGATCTGGATCTATCAGTTCTTGATCTTGATTCAGAGTCGTTTTGCGGTTTGAGGCGGTTTGACCATCCTGTGTCTGAGAGGTAAGAGTCGAGTCTACATTGACCCAGCCGAATCCACCCGATGTCCCCTCAGATTTCCGAGCTCGAGACGATTCGGAGGCCGACCGATCGATCGATGCCGGTGCGTCCACCGTGCGTCCAAGGCCCGGAGGGCACGGGCACCCCCCGGAAACCTCCGCGCCCCCAACTCCCAACCGTCCAAAAAAGGAGAACCCGACAGCGAGCACGAGCGGTGTTTTGGGGGGGTCGACGCGGGAAACCGACCATCTTCTCTACACTTTAGGGGTGGGGTCAGCCCAGGAGGTCCATCTTCACATCTCTGCCGCGACAATCTCCGAGTCTCTGGGTTGACGCACCATTTCTCAATCTGCTCGGAGACCTCCTCCAAGCTGGCCCAAGTGCTACCTGATAGTTGGAAAAAAGACATCCCCAAACACACACAGAGCCCACCCCAACCCACCCACGAGAACTACAAAGGAACAGCTTCAAACCACCTGGTTTGACAGGACGAACGATCCTCTCATGACCCTCAATAGCACGGTCATCACCCAGGTGCGATCCGCGTCCGGCATGGCCGCGCGGTTCTGCGGCGTATCCAGGATCTGCGGGGCCAAGCCGATGGTCACCGGGCCACCCTGCGCCAGCGAGCGCACGAGGTGGTGCACGGCCGCCTGGAGCCCAGAAGGAACGTTCCACCGGACATCGGCACGGCACGTGGGGGTGGAGGTTGCTGGGTTTGGAGGATCAGTTCGAGTCATAACGAGTCAATATGTATCAACATGTCATTGAAAACTCTCCAAAAAAAAACGGTAAAGGCTGATTTGAAAAGAACCAAATCCACCACTGTGCCTGGCTGTGCCTCCTTAGGTCCTTGTTTCACCCACTTGTATCACTTGTGATCCTTCTAGCCCCACAAGCTCACGCGGCCACCTTAGCAGTCCCATACGGCAGGCTCCAGGCTGTTGGCCCCCAAGCAGCCGCTGCCCCCGGCAGAATCACGAGGCCCTTGGGGCTCAAAAGCTCAGCCGACACCTGGTAGAAGGCAAGAGTGGAAACAGACACGTCAGCGGTGTCCATTGGAAAAAGCGATGTAAACCATGTGGAGTCCAAGAATGGACAACCTTTGTTCGTCCTGCGAAGCGGCACTTAGAGGCAACATCAACCGACTTGAGAACCCGTGGAAAGGAAAACGGGAAAATTCACCGCCTTCCATGAGCACGGGGCCCCCGCGATGGATCAAGAACCATGGCGTCCAAAACCCCACACGAAATCCAACGAAATCAACGGGAGTCCTCGACACCGGGAGGGTGGTGTAGCTGGGCTGTTGCAATCCCAACCCTTCTTCCATGAAACATCTGTATACCCAGCCGTTTGGCCAAGGTCTTGGTTTCACCCGCCACCCGCCTGGGCCGCCACAACTGACGAATACACAGAGCTCTCCACCATGGTCATGGTCTTCGCCAAGACCTCCACAGCACCGATCGGTCAAGATACGCAACCCATTGGATCCCGCGAAAGCCGTGTTTTTTCGCACCGATCACGTCAACGGCCGAGATAGACCTGCTTTCAAAGGCCGCGGGGCGCTTGCAAGCGCGCCCCGCTTCAGAAAGGGGGCAACACGTCGGCAAGTCCCTTCTCACGAGCCTCTCTCTCTTTCGACCTTGGGCGCGGGTGTTGGTTCTCCATCAGGTTTGCACTTCTCCAGTTTCCCTTGTTGGCAAACCGAACTTCGTGGGGACTCAGCCTGGCATCCCTGGGTCCTCGGCACCTCTGGGTCCTCGGCGGCGCCCATGGCGAAGCCGCCGGCCACGTTCACCACAGCATCCAAGCGGTCACCCTGAAGGCGGTCCTAACGAAACAGCAGCTTCGCCACGGGGGTGCCCGGAGCTTGTTTAAGAGCCAAGGGAACCAACAGGCTAACAGGCTAACAGAATCTAACAGGTACCTTGCTGATTAAGTTTATTGTTGGTTTCAGAAACCTTAGCTACAGGCATTGCATGCTGGTTTTGCAGCAAATGAATGATACAAAGCTCGGAGCCCCTGACTTTGCTAGTCTTTGCCGCAGTAAACAGTCGTGCTTTGCCAGGACTAATGAGAAGCTTGGGCTTTCGCTCGAAAAAGCGTCTGCGGAAACGGGATGTTTGACTATCAGGTATGCTTCGGAGGTATGCGCCTTGCGCACGCCCCCGTGCTAGTTCTCAGTGGCCTGGCCCCCTCAAACACGAAGGTCTTGACCGTCCGTGTTGGCAAGACTCCGCCACTGTCTTTCAATTAGAAATGTAAGACTTCGGTCCTCCCCCATGGATTTTCATGGCTTTTCCATGCTTTTCCCAACCCGGGCTGCCCGCCCGGGTTCGGTGCTTCAGTCACCAGCAGGCCAGGGCTCTTTCAGTCGCAGGAGCAGATCGTGTCCCTGTTCCTTGCCGGGCTTCAAGGCGCCTTGAAGACGGCGGACCAGAGCGGTGAAGAGAAAAAGCATGTGGCTGCCGCGCAGCCACGTGAGTGGGCCGGAGGTCGTGCTGGGGGTCCAAGCGAAATTGAGTGATGGATTCTGAGAAGGGAATGTGTACTTCATGGCACTCTCAACTTAAGATCACTCAGCACCAAGGTATCAGAATCAACCAAGAAGGCGTATCCTCAAGGATTCGACCCTAATTTCCAACAGCCAAGTGACGTATGTTTGGCTCAACAGCCAGCTGTCCCCGGCTGTGATAAAATACGAGTAAAATTCCAAAAACACCAACTGCTCCAACTGCTCGTTCCGAGAGCCGCCACCGACCGGTTCGGCCCAGCGACAGAACTCCACGGCCTTCGGAACTCCTCGAGGTAAACCGGCGTGCGCGGAGCACGGCGTTCGGGAAAGTCGAAGGAGCAAACCAGGTGAGACGCCACATGAATACATGAATATATTAATGTCTTTTTAAAGCCCTAATTAGGGGGTTGGCCGCTAGGAGGTAGCTAGTAGAGATTAGGTAGCTAGTACCTACAAGTAAGCTACTAACTACTAGACGCAGGATAGCTCACGCTTCTAATGATTTGGTTCCTAGATTTTTAGGGAAACTAGTGATTTTGCTTCCACCTTGCGATGAATCGAAGTTCAAACTTGAGAGAGGAAATAGAAGCTTTGACCTTGGCATGTGACTTTTCCCAAGAAGAGCGATCCAGCTGTTTGCCATAAAAAGAGAACACACATCATAAGTTGCCCTTTGGCCCGGAATCTGTCTCCCCATGCCCCATCTCTCCCCCACATTTTCTGGAAAAAAAGGATATGGAGCAGCGTTTTCTAGATGCCACCCTTTTCATTTGAGATACCCCTGCCAAAGCCTTGGTTTGTTCATTCCTCTTGACTTTACTTGTTGATCGAACAACCTAAACAAGAGTCATGCCGCTCCCGTTCCCCTCAGGCGAAACCATTCAAAAAGTTCATGTGAGCTTTGGGTGAATACTAGACTCCCATTGTGGACCATATACTGTAAACACATCATCATGCACACCCCTTTTTGCGATGCCGGTTTACCTTTTCCCTTAAAAACACCCCCTGTTCTTATCCGCTCTGCCGCCGGCTTCCGGGCTCCTGCCGCATGCACATCAGCGCCCAGGGTCACCCAGCTGCCCGAAGCAAAGCGCTCGCAGAGCTGGCGGCCCAGCTGCCCAGCGGCGCCCAGCACCAGCACGCGCCGGGCCATGGGGCCGTGGTCGCGCCGTGGGTACCGCGAAGTGAGAATCAGCTCGGACTCGCTTCGACCTTCGGCCTCAACCGGGGATCTTGGCCTCTGTGTCGGAAGAATTGGCCTCTGTGTCCGGACTTCGGCGGATCCTTTGGTTCAAGAGTTGCTTTGTCTATGATTTATGATAGATTTATCATGATTTAGCTGCCACACTGTCAATGGATCGTGGATGAAGCGTGAGAACCCGTGTGAATTGAGAAAAATGGCCACCTGCAAGAAACAGAAGGTCACGCTCAGCCCAAATGCTCGGTTGCTTCCAAAAACGCGTGGTGTGGTGAAAAACAAAATGCTTCCAAAAATGCTCGGTCACCCCGGCCTTTACTTCTACTGTAAGAACCCCTAGTGTGACCACACTGTTTGGTGAAAAAGAAGGGTGATGTCTTCCCAACAAAAGAAACCTTTCAGCCTTCAGGTCTTCTTTATTGAAGACGTGACGACAGGGCTTTGTCTCCAGGGCTTTGTCTCAAGCTCGAGAGAGTGGTGACGGACCCGACCGGGAACGACATGGAACGACCAGTCACACAAGTCCAGACTCTGAGCCATCCGGGCCAGCGGCTGCTTGTCTTGGAAGATCTCCGGAGCAGCGAGGATCTGGGCGAAGTCCTCAATCTCGCGGAAAAGCCCCGCGGGAGAACAATCTCCGCGCGGAAAGCCGGGCAAAGAGCGGATCTCCAAGTCCAATCCCACCGAATTGGTCGCCAGATCGGGTCGTTGCGATCTCGCGGGTCACGGGTCCCGGGATTGATCATGGGTCAGTGGGATCTACCCGAGATCACGGGATGCATGGGTGCGAACTCACAGCTGGCAGATCGTCTTGGCAGATCTTGGCACTGGATCGAACAGCCTTGCAGACTATACCATAGTCTCACCCCCTCTCATCTGCGACATGTCTCCACACCATGGTTATGGTTGGGGGGACAAATTTTACAGCTCGGCACATAGAAGCTGACATCACCATCTTCCCAAGTTCTCGGCTTCCCCACTAGCCACACCACTGCCCAGTGGCCAGCCCCCCGAAGCACCAATGGGCCCTCCCGTTGGGCATGCCGAGGTGCTGTGAAGTTCATGGCTTGGTAGATGCGAACGTGCTCCAGAGCTGCTTCATCGATCTGACGTGAAGCCCCGTTCGGTCCATGCAGGCCGCGCAAGGCAGGCAGGGACGGCAGGGACGCTCAAGACGAGTCGGACAACTGTGACGGTTTTCTAATGGTCACTTCTTCATGTCCATTCCCACGGACCGTGACACCCTCACCTGTCGGGCTGCAGCAAGGCTCCCAAGGCGCTCGGCCAGCGCCCAGGGTGGATCCTGGCGCAAAGCACAGACTGCGCTGGTCTTGTGGTGGTTTTCATGTCGCTCCTGCTATGGGTCTTTTTGGTTCAAGCCAAAAGGTTGGGTCCATCCGATTCCTTGCAACCTTGCCACCGGTGCAGAAATACTCAACCTTTGCCAACTTCCAAGTACAGGTCAGCTTGTTCATCCACAAGACCAGACTTCCGCCGACCTGACCAGATGACCAGACTTGGCAGACCCACGGCGCTGACCCCCACGTCGCACGTCGATCCATCCTTCACCGTGACGTAAAGCACGGGCCGAGAAGCACAGCATGCAGCTGCAGACACCGAAAGGCCCAGTAAGGTCTTGCCTCACGTGGCAACGGGGTGCTGTTACCAAAACAAAGGCATTGATGGCACGAGAAGCGATCTGGGTTTGTCTCAGGTTCATGAGGCTCATTCCCATTGATGTAGCTGCTGTTTTATTTGTGGCCTGTCCCTTATCTTCTTCGAGTGAGTCAGTCTCCTGCAAGCAGCAACTGTTTCTTGCATCATATATGCTTGATACCCTCCCAAACCGTTGGGACTCGTGTTCAAGCCGCCTCTGGGCCGGCAGCGTGGGGATTTGACCGTTCGATTCCTTTGGGAAGGCGCTGGATAGGGTCCTGAAGTGACACCAGAGTGGACTATGAGTGTGCCTTTTTGTAGGGAGACATCGTAGCCCAATCGGTAGACTAGTCTATGTCCCTTCTTCCAGCAGGTCGAACTGGGAGGTCTCCCCTTTAAAATACATAGCCACGAGGTGAATCAGAGTGATTCTAAGTAATTTTCGATGGACGACGTATTTGCGAAAACGTTGACCTTCCAAAGCGGGCATTGGGCCATCTAATAAGTGCAGTGGGATCAAAAAGAAGCTAGGACAGTATAGAACCCTTGAACAATGGCTAAACATATCTAAACATCCTCACCCATCTTCAACCTAAGCGTCTTCAAACCTGGAAGCTTTCAAGGACGGTCCACAGTGTTGAAAAACCGGTCCAAACCGGTGTAAACCGACCGGTCGTGACACCACGTCGCCTGTGCCAGGGGCACCGTAGACTTCACAGATCTCACCCGGGCGGATCGACAAGATCTCCTCGCCGGGGACGGGCCGATGCTGGGTGCTGGGTGACCCGACCGGGTGGAACTAGCCAAGGAGGTGAGCAGGGGTGGGCCGACAGGAGCTGGGAATGGATTGGTTATCCTGTGTGTGTGTGTGTGTGATTGATCTCCATGTTGAAGGCTCGGAACTCGAGAAGGCTCCGATGGTTCACATGGTCTGTTTTGGTGCAAGGCCTGGAACGCGGTGCAAGGCCGGGTTCCCCGGCCTCCAAACGTCCCAGCCCCAGCTTGATCGGCCACACCTGGCGCCACGGCATCGTCAACTCCACTCCGTCTGGTCCGTCCAATCGTGGAACATGGACACCGTGTCGCTTGAAGGACGTCCACAGATGCTGGCAACATCACGCAACTTCCCATCTGAACCGGATTGGGCCACGTGTCTTCTTCTCGGGGCTCATCCGCGCGGAAACCACTTTGCTCTAGGTTTGAAGCCTACTTCACCGACAGGATTCTGTGGCCAGCTCGACTCTTGACTCTACGAGCCCACCCCTACTCGGCGATCAGACCTAGGCCTAGGAACTCCCGATGTGATCTGCAGACTGTGAGGGATGAACAATGCGCCCACAAATTTCAGGCCGTGAAGCTTTACGTTCATTGCACAAGGTGTGTGGTGCCTGCTGATGTTTCAGACCAAAAGTGCCCAGTCTCTTCGGTTCGAGAAAATGCGTCGGTTCCTTTGACCCATCCCACGGTCCCGTCGATCGACACCTGAACTTGTTCTCCCTCTTCCTGGCGAGCTGCGTCTACGATGACCGAGAAGACTAGGCGAAGAGCGGCGCAGGGCGAAGAGGGCGTGGTCGACGATGTCTACGATGTGGCAGGAGCTGGGAGGTCCAAATCCCATTTGAAGGAGAGCTTTTGGCCTACAAGGTCATGCGCTCTTCCTTTTTGGCCAACAAAAAGGGAAGGTCCTGTTCGGAGACACAAAATAAACAAGTCTGCTTCACCATGCTTCACCTCTTGTGGAAGACACCGAGCATCACCGATGGATGATCCCCCCAAAAAAAAACGGGGGATGGCTGGGATGGCTCGAAACCATTCTTTGCACAGATCAGAAACGGTGATCAACTTGTACTCATTTGGATCGACGCCTGCGAACGCCGAGGAATCCCTGGCACCCATCCTCCACAAAGAGCAAGTCTTCCCCCGTGCAGGGCGGCGAGGCTTTTGAGGACGCCTGCGCAGGCAATGGGTTCAGAATCTGATGCACTCTTAAGATCTATAGTTAGACTCCCAGTGTGGGCCACAGGCGAGATCAAATATGTCGTTTGCTTTGAGAGAAGGAGAGGGAAAGAGGGAAGGAGGAGTACCATCTTAATTTGCATAGTATTAAACTACTAAATATATGGACGAAATTAAAATCTAAATTTCGGGGCACTAAGTTCCAGCCCTGTTGCCAAGTACTACTATCTCGCCAAGTCCTAAGTGAGGAACTGCATGAAAACTGCAAGATAAGATCACATTACTGTAACTGCAAAAAATGCAAGAAAACTGCAAAAAAATGCAAAAAAAAAAAAACAGAAACTGGAAGAAAAAACTGCAAGAAAAGGCAAGGAAACTGAAAGGTTCTGCACGGTGTCCGCCCACAGTTTTCTGGCAGTTCCACGCACAGTTCCCGTCAAACCCTGTCAAAGCGTGGTAGCATTGTGGCAAACCTTTGCCAAAAGCAAGAATAACTGCAAGCGGTTTGCCACAATGCTACCACGCTTTGACAGGGTTTTTTCCGGGACCTGCGGTGCGGAAAAGCCAGCAAAACGACGACCATGACCTCCAGCGGTGCTTCCCATGACCTCAGCACCGTGACCTCCGAGATCCCAAGTCCCACTGCAAAAAAATCAGTAGGAAAGAAAACTGCAGTAAAACTACCAGAAGAAACGCAAGAAAACCTTCGTGTAGAAGCCGCTGTAGACAAACGTTGCTTTTAGAAGCCTTCCTGTAAATCGATGTTGCCTTGAAAAGCCTTTTGTGTGTAGGTCGATTTTGTATTGAAAAGCCTTCCTGTAAACCGACTTTGCTTCAAGATTGCCTGTCTATAAACAAATTTTGTTCTAAGAAACCTTCCCATAGGTAGACTAAAGCCTTCCTCTAGACCAATTCTGTCCTGAAAGCAAGCCTTCCTATAGACCAATGTGTGTTTTATGATTGCCTGTCTGCTGCTTTAAGAAATTGCAAGAAAACTGCAAGCAGAATTGCAGGAAATTTGCAACACGGATACGTCTACAGGAAGGCTTCTTAAAGCTAAATTGGTCTACCTACTGGCTGCTGGAAGGCTTCTAAAAGCAAAGTTGGTCTACAGGAAAGTTCCAAAGCAAAATTTCTCTGCAGACAGGCAGGTTGTTCCAAATTGGTCTACAGGACAGGAAGGCTTAAAAGAAAAACTTGCCAAAACCCTCACATGTTCAGAAGCCATTTCTGCAAGGTCTGCTTGCCGTTTTTTTTCCAGAACTTCGAGGCTTTCAGGTCGATGTCCAGCTCAGCTCGCCGCGTCCCCCGGGCCCCACCTCTGCAAGGAGCCGATCGCACTCGTCCCAGCCAGCCATGGCGAGCGGCGGTCGGCACGGGCGGCCTCCCTGCGCCGGAGGCGCACCCCCGCCCCTGCCGTGGTTGGAAGAAAAGCAGCGGCAGCACCTGTTTCAGGCGGAGCTTTCCACGGTATTCACCACGAAATTTCAACAAATGGGTGCCTGAAACAGGAGAGGTGATGCCGCGAAGAAAGGGTTTAGGAGAGCCTTAAGAAACAGGTCTCAAAGAAGTCATCTTCCCTGAAAACTACAGTTCCGCTCTAAAACCGGCCTTTGGTGGAAGTTGGACATGTCGACAGGTCCAACAGCCATGGTTCGGACATCGTTCGAAACGCCTCGTTCGGTTTCTGCATGTCTTTCTTCACGTTGCCACGGATGACCCGTACGTCTTCTTTAGGACCTGATTCCGTACGCTGAGCCTGAGCGCCTGCGTGAGCCACGGGAGCACATGTTTAAAATGGTCTCCGCCACGGTCCTTGCTAGTCGGTCTTCCTACCTGAGTTGGGTTCAGGGCAAGGGCTGGTCAAGTGAGACTCACACGTGGCTTGCCTGAATTCACCAAGACAGAAATGAAGAGCCCCCTTGCCCTTCAAAGCTTCGTGTTTCTGCCCATGACTCAATGGCTCGCTGCACGACTCAATGGCTCGATTTGATCCTGCCAGATTGGCCATGTCTTCAAATCTTTGTCCCCACTTCACGATCAAGTTATGAACACGCCCTCTTTGTCCTGCGCGGCAGTGGAGTTGAGGCCACTTAGCTCACAGGAGCTGTCTGAGTGAGACACCGGATGTGTCTCTGGTCAGCTACAACTCAATCCATCGAAAACGTCAGATTTCTGGTGATCCAAAGCTAATCCCCACCTCACACCCTGTGCACACATCCACCTGCGCTTTCAAGCACCCATGAAAGCCACACACACCCGTTGGGAAAAACGGTGTGTCATGTAGACTTGGGTTCGACCGTGAACCGCCCGGGTCCGATCGTAAAACAGCCCTCGCTTCGGTCGCTTCGGTCGACAGCAGCTTTTGGGTTGGCCCGAAACAAACGGGTGTCCGTTTTTGAGGTCACCAGCAGCCGGTGAAGAGGGCGACTTTCTACCAGCAGTGGCCTGGTAGATTTATATCACCAGGCTTTTCAAATCACCAAAACAAACACCAAGAGGCACTTGGTGTAGGCCAACCCGGTACTGCAAGCCAGGTGACTGACCCACCTGAGATTGTAACATTGGCGCAAACAAAGCCGAAGCGGCTTGTCCAGCTGTGGATTTGGGATCCATGGCCTTCAACATGTGATGGATAGACACTTGGCATCAAAGAGAAGGGGACCTGAGTTCGCTCCCTCAAACGAGCTCCTGCATGGTGGAAAAACTTGCAACTCTGGTGCGACTCAATGAAGGCCAGGGAACAGGCAAGCGCCACTCGCGTACGCAGATCTGGGGAGGAAAATCAGAAGACCAGTCATGTAGGCTGTTGAGGAATAAAGCACCCGTCTCCAGAATGGTGGTTTACATCTCTATATAGTGGGATGTTGATGAACCAACAGTCTACAGTAGTGTGGCCCCAACTTCCAACTTCGTACTTCACGCCATCGGACGGCCAGGTGGGGGTGGCAGCCACCCTCCTGACTTTCAAGTGAGGGACTTGGGGAAAAACATCGAGGCACTTGGTGGTGACTCACAGGGCATCAATGTCCAATGCCAAGGGGGCGCCACCGGCAGAGGAGTGCCGTTCATTCCACCGGTCCGCGCCGGTCCGGACGCGCCGATGTGTTCTTCTCGAAGGAAGAAGAGTTTGAAACAAGAAAGCTGTGGCCCATTGTGATTGCAACAGGTTGAATGCAATTTGTGTCCTAGCCATAGTCTCTTTACTCACGTTAAATTTCTTCATTTGTCCTGCCAATATGTGGTGTTCTTTCATTTGGACCTGGCATGAAACTGTTTCAGTTTGATTTGATGGAACCAGATCTGCCCCGCGTACTATCAACATCAGACACAACACAGTGTCCAACCGCGCATGCGGCCGCACGCGAGCACGAAGAGATTTCGGTCCTGTCTCACCTGTGACATGGGTGTGCTCGATTGAAGAATGTAAAACTATTATTTTATCCCAGAAGCCCGAGAAGCCCTACCACACCACATGAAGGCCGACTTTCAAGATATATACTCACAAGGAGAACCCTTGAAAAACCCTTGAATACCGTGACCCGAAGGCGAAGCCAAAAATGGAGCAGCCCAGTCGGACCTGACTTGTGGATACCAAAGACGTTGGTGCTTGCTTCATCACCTCAACCATACAATCCAAGCATAAATTGGGTTGTTTGGTGTGACATTCACCAATCCCCACTCCCTTCAGGCCAGGAGGTCGGGTCGAACAGGAATTCATCTGATCCGCACCCAAATCCGTCAGGTCCATGATGTGTGCGGCTTTGATCTGAAGTGCTTTGGCACGAAAGTTGGGCATCGCTGCTAGTAACAAGTGCATGACTGGCACCCGAAATCATGCCCAGAACTGAACTCACCTTCGCGCCCAGCCCGACTGCGTCACTTTCCACATGCGCAGCATCAGTTCTGCAACTGCCTCGGTGTTTGCTGATTTCACTCGCTGCACTGCTGCATGGGCACCGCTTGATGACCCGACAATCGGCACATCTGAGTAGATACAGTAGATAACTGAAAAAGCTACAAAAGGTAGAGCATTTCCAAAAAGAGATCAAGGGATATCAAGGGTATCTGATATACCTTCTGAAACCATCGGGCTTGCTGTTGCCCAGCTTAGCTCCACTGCCACTCATTCTTTCCGAAACTCGGTTGAAACTTGGGCACAGCTTCACTGAAGCTGGTTAGAGACGCCCTGTTAAAGGTGTCTTTCGTCTGTGTCCCAGGGATCAGAGCCACAAAACAGGCGGACGCAGTCGCACCAACCTGGTGGGTCCGTACGAGAAAAGGGGGGGCGATCGCCTCGCCGGCCCTTGAGTTGGTCGTCTTCGCCCAAGCTGCCGCTCCGGCGATGCAGGAACCCGGCCCCTTTTTCCAGACGTGCTGTCGGTCTGTTGGGTGGACAGGGTGCTCAAGCTGGATGCAGCGCAAGAAAGCAAGGCAAAGGGACACTACCCCTTCAGCATTGCTGCATCTCTTCTATGTACATGAGGTCTTGTTCTTGATCAGTGCTCCCAGCGAAATCTTTGTCGCAGGGGAAGGAAAATGTGGGCATGACTGACAGGAGCCGGCCACATACAGGAAAACTGATTCTTAAGAAAAAGGTGTCTTTGGACAAGGATGAGACTTGGTCCCTTTCGACAAGTCCACGACGCCCTTAGACTGCGATGCCGCCCTCAGCCGGATGTCTCGATTTGCGACCAACCTTCCCACCGGAGCCGGGTCGCCGTTTTCTCTTCGTTCCCTCCGGCATCCAACGACCGTTCGGATCTGGCCGGCGGAGCCGGGACCGGTCGAAGAAGCCGGAACACCGGTCCAAGTCGGCCTTCAGAAGCGTACGAAGTCACAGGCCTCCTCCTGTCGAGACCAGCGGAAGAAAGGAGGCTGTGGTGCCACGGCACCGGCCTGCCCCGCCCGTGGCCTCGAACGGTCCGGAGACGAACGAACGAGTCTGACCGAGTCTGACCGAGACTCAGACCGAACGACCTGTGTGACCTGGACGCTTCTCATCTACCACCTGATCAGCGTTTCTCGTGGTCCACGTGAATCGGTAAAAGGGAAATCAATGGAAATCACTGAAATCACCTGATTGATCACTTCCTCCGGGAAATCTGCCCCCCACCTCCCCCACCTCGCCTCTCGCGGTCCGAGTTCGTCCCTATGTTGCCGCGTTCGGCCACTTGGGTTGGGCCTTTCTCCCCAAAAAACCTGTGGTTCACCTCACGCCGGTTCTTCCGAGACTCCAACCATCCCACTCCTGATCGTCGCTCGTGGGCATGGCCATCCGCACCGACGCGTCGATCGAGTCGGGTAGCCTTGGTGGAAGGGGTCGCGGGAGGGTCGTGGCGCAGCCACGAAGGCGCACGGAGTGGCGGCGCCATCCGCACCTCTCCAACGGTCCAAAAAGGATGTCGTACTATTCCTAAGGGCTTTTGTTCACAACACGGGAGGCACTTTGGAGAGTCCAAATGGTGTGTGGGAGATGTTGACACAGTATGTATGTAACGTCATGATGTAGTTCTTCGGAGCTGCTAACCTGGCCCAACCTGGCAACCTAAGATCAGCCACCAACATCCGCGTCTATCCGTGTCTGTCAGCGTCTCCCAAGGACTGCCATCGGTTGACAAGGACTGCCGTTGGAATCTGGGTTCTGATCGATCTGAGGGTCGGGCTTGGGGATGTGGGCCTTTCTGCTCATCCATTCGGGGAAAAAGGAAACCCAAAGACAGGATGTCACATAGCAAAGAGATGAGATCTAGAGTTCCATGGAAAGTGTTTCGCCTTGCCCCCTGTCTGTTCTACTTAGTCCAACAAGAGAATCACCATCCTGGAACATCACGTAAACGTCGCATGAGGCATGGGCACGTCCGTTCGTTCCCCGTGCTGGGCCCCGAACCCCCGTAGGCGTCCCAGTATCATAGTGGCCACCAGCAACATCTGGGATGCATCACCTCAAGTGATTCATGGCTTGAAAATGAGCCGGTTGGTTGTTCATCGCTGAGATCAGATCTCAACATGCTTCAACCAAAGCCCTACAGCGTCTTCAGTCTGAAGGTCGCCACTCCACACACCGCTGAAGGAGAAGGTCTGATTCCTGGCAGTTCGAAGCGAAAACGAGGAGCTGTTCAGCTCACTCCGCATCTCTGGGCCCTCGGCTCATAGCCCAGCGATAGGCCACAGGTGCCATAAGCGGACAAGATCTCAAAGAGCACCTGAACAAACGCGGCGCGCGCGCGCACCCAAAAGCAACGTTGTGAGAGTTGGATGCGAAATGGATGTTGGATTGGATGTGGTGTCCTGGAAGACTAGGGCCCAGGTCCCTTCTTGTCCAGGCTTGCGATATTTCGTCAGTTGCAGGTACCCCATGCCCAGTTTGATCGAGACTCAGGCAAGATGGATTTGTATCTGCCTCCTGTGGTGGGTTTGTCCCATGTGTGAGAGTGTGAGAAAGACCAATTTATCTCTATTGGATGCCGAATCCACCTCTTCGAATCAGGCTGGAAAGGAAAATATGCACAGCCTTTACACATCACAAGCTGGAAACCCTTTTCTTTCTAGAACCTCCTTTTCCTCGACGGGAGCCCAGCTGCCTCGCTACCATTTGTGTCCTCGCATCTTTTCTCGCCAAACGACGACCATCCTAACCTGCTCAGCACAGCACACTTCCCCCGCTCCCCGTGCTACGCACGCTTCCGCTGGTGCCAGGCCCAAAATCCACCGGCCACTGCGAGGGCGGCCACCACCACGCTCAGGACCAAGAAGCCGCCCGATGAGCCCGCGCCCACCTCGCCCCCGCCCCCCGCAGTGGGGCTGGCGGGTCGCGGTTTCGCCGGCGACGCTGGCGACGTCGCGGGCTTCGATGCCGGCGGCGGCTTCGGGGGTTGTGCTAAGCCTTCCATGATCTCAAGCTTCACCTTGAGCTCATCCAACTCAGCAGTGCCGGCCAAGCCAGGCGGTGCCCCGCCCATCTTGGCAGAATCAAGGACCTCTTTGATCATCTCTTCACCAAATCTCTGCTGCACCTTGAAGATGCTGGTCTCGAACTTCACCTGTGCCATGATCTTGTCTCGGGTCTCTTCCTCTGTGTCGAAGGAATTCGGTTCGTCCAGCCTCCTGTTGGGCAAAGCTTCGATGACCTCTCTGGCACACAAAAGCACCTTTTCCTCTTTGCTCAAGTGGTCCACTTTTTCTTCAACACTCTGCGCCATAGCTCCTTTGGTCATAAGGCAATAGCCTTCTCCTGCGAAACGCTCGGGCCTTTCCATCTTCATGTAGGGACAGCATAAGTGCATCCCATGTTCATCCACCTAGGTGCCAAAGCTGTGCCAACTCCCAGGGATGTTCACTCAAGATCACTCAAGGCACCCAGCAGTCAACGTCTGTTCTCATTGTGTTTGTCTTTCATTTCATTTCATGTGCGCGCAGAGCAGTCAAGCGTAGCGCCTGTGTTTGTCTTTAAAACAAAAACAACGGAACCCCCGCGTACCTTGGTGATGTAGGGCACGGGCGGTGCATCCGAAGGCATCCCCTCCATGGCCACTTGGATGTCCAGGTGCATTGGGTTCTGCATCGCGTCCACCCGATATCTGCCCTGGATCGACCGCCCCAGCACTTGCAAGCGCACCTGATGGCATCCGGTGCTTCACGGACCGGCGCCGCAGGACGGCGGGACACGGGGCGAAAGAACGACCAACATCATCCGCTTCGGGTAAGGGATCAAAAAAACAAATAAAAAGAATCAACAAAAAAATATTCAACGGGGATCAATAAAAAATAAAAAGGGAATCAAAAAAACATATTCTAGCCCACTGCCCCTCCTAGTAGGGAGCTATTTCTACTGGTGAACCATTTTTCGAGTAGGGCTACTCAATGACTGGACGGCAACCTTATCGTTGGGTACCTACTTTCTTCCCAGGGAGCTGCCTCTAGTAGAAAGCAATCAAGCCTCTATTTGCGCAAGCAGGGGACCAGGAGATCGACAGACGAGCGCCGTAGGAGAGCAAAAGACCAGCGGACCAGGAGACAGAGGGACTAGGATACCAGGGGACCAGCGGACCACAGGACCAGAGGACCTGGAGACCGGAGGACTAGGGGACCAGTGGACTGAAGGACCAAGGGACCAGGGGACCAAAGGACCAGTGGACCAGAGGACCAAGGGACCAAAGGACCAAGGGACCACATTACCAGAGGACCCGCAGACCACAAGGCCAAGAGAGCAGCAGAAGAGGCCTATCAAGGAATATGTATTTTTTGATTCGCTTTTTATTGTTTTTTTGATCCTGTTTTTTTTTATGCTTTTTTTACTTTTTTTTTGATACCTATGCCATCCGCTTCAGCGGCTGGACAACGAGTCAAGGATGCCCTTTTTTCAGAAGAAAACATGGAAAGAATTATACCGGCATAGACCCCAGATAGCACTTCAAGAAAAGTTGGACACCATGGCAAGAGCGGGAGACAAGCTTGGGAGACATCCCACTCAAAGCCGGGAAAAGGATGGAAAAGGTAAACAAGACCTAAATCATCTCATAACAGCATCCGCGTCAAAGAGCGAAATCATGAAGGGAGACAAGCTTGGGAGACAAGCTGGCAGCGGCAGCCAAAAGCGAAATCATGCGAAATCATGAAGAGCTCCGGAGACAAGCTTGGAGACAAGGCGACAGCGGCAGCCAAGAGCGAAATCATGAAGGGAGACAAGCTTGGGAGACAAGCCGGCAGCGGCAGCAAGGGAGACAAGCTTGGGAAACAAGGCGGCAGCGGCAGCCAATTTCCGCAATCCGGAACCCATCCATTGAGAAGTAAGAACCCCTATAGCTTCCAGCTATCTGGGGACAAAACAAAGGTCCTGTGAGTCTATGAAGGCACTTGCTCACTTGCTCGGTCTCCTTCGGTGTCACGGATCATTTCGTCTAGAGTCTAGAGGGTGTTCATTCATCCAGAAACCGCCCGTTGGATCCAATTTTGAAGCCACTTCAAGAACCCAGGTGACATGCTAGCATCTACCAGCTTCTTCCAAGTGACCTTTTTGGAATCCCTAGGTGACCTATTATACAGGCCTAAGTGACCTCAGACCAGGGGATCAAAAGGTCACTTAGAAGAACCAGGTATATACTGTATACCTTTGAAGTTCATCCCCAGGGAGGACCACCGAATCACGACCTCCAACCATTCCTAAACCGCGGCACACTCTGTGGCCCAGAAACCGTGACCCTCAGTGGAAAGAACATGGCCTCCATGGCCTCTTGGCTTTTAGGGGAGAAAACCCCTGTCTCCTTTCGAAACATCAGGTGGTGAGCTTCTCCACATCTCCACGTCTCAGGTCGTTGAGTCCACGTCCAGTCCACGACTTCCTCCATGCGCAATGTCTAGGCACTTGGTAGTGGTCCAGAAACTCCATCTCTTGGTCGTATCCTCCTAAGGCTTCAGTGACCTTGCCATGCCAGCAGCCCTGCAACTGTGCCGTGAGCTGGCGGTTCTTCACCTGCCGGAGAGACAGGCGGTTTCGATATCCAAAACGGGGAGACCGACCCGGTGAGTGCCTCCAAACGACGGCCTTTGGCCCAAGGATCGAGGCGACATGAACCATGAGGTCGAATGGGAAGGTCCATGAGGTTTCGTGAACCATGAGCCACATGAGCCGTTGCAAATCAATGGCTCAAAAGCGAATCACGAAGCTGATTTCCTAGCAATTGCTACCGGGGTATACCGGGGCATTCACAAGTGCCCCAAAAGAGTCGAAGTCGTCCCCATCGAAGGCTCCGTGGCACAGCTGGCAGGCCTCTGCCAAGGTCTTTCTCAAGGAATCAGCATCATCCTTCGCGCACTTGGCAATGCCCCTCTCACAGATTGCGACAGCCTCATCCCAGCGCTCCAACTCCTGCAGCGCCGCAGCTTGCCTGGAATATCCTGATGGACAGAGTTGAGACGGCCAAATGTATAAGGGTCTTTCCGCAAATAGGGCAGGCGGCAATGCGTTTCGGAGGTATGTTTCGGGGTATGTTGCAAGGTATGTTTCGGAGGTACGCTCCGCAAATCCACAAGCAACATCTCATTTGTAGCCAGGTATGCTTCGAGGGTATGATTCGGGGGTATGATTCGACCTATGTTTCGACCTGTTTCGGATGATGTTGAACATGCGTCCCATCTAAAGTGTTTAGCACTGCATTTATGGAATAATCTAGTTTAACAATAGAGAATTACACATTATACACATCTGTGTCTGCTCTTGCATCCAAACATGTCATCCGTATCTAGCAGCACCAAATACATCCAAATACCTACTTTCTTGAAAACGCCCCAAGAAAACCGCGTTGAAGTGTGCCTTTCAACACCCCCACCACATAGGAAAAAGCACCCCACCAGGCCCCCCACCGGGCTCCCACCACTCTCTCGCTCCCGCCGAAAGGGCCGCCTTTGGGGAAGTCCGAGGCCAGTCGAAGGCATCGCTCCGCATCCGCCAGGGCCTCCTGCGCGTCGCCCAGCTTCAAGTGCGCCGCGCTCCGATTGCTGTAGCCTCGCCCAGAGCCGGGCCGGAGCCGGTCGCGGTGGAGACCCAGTCGAGAGAGAGCGAGAGAGAGACAGAGAGAGAGAGAGAGACAGAGACAGAGACAGAGAGAGAGAGAGAGAAGAGACAGAGACAAACAGACAGAGAGACAGAGAGAAGAGAGACAGAGAGAGAGGGGACCCGCTCTGGAGAACAACGCGGTCGGTGGCTCGGTAGATGGGGGAAGAGAGAGGCGTTCCGAAGCTCAGGGCCTGTAGGACTATGTAGGACTAGGGGTGTTACAATGATGTGAGGCCCTTGAAGACGCTCGAATGCTCAACCAATCCAAGCGACACAAGTGCTGTTCGGGGTCAAGCGCCAGCGATTCTGTATAAGCTTTCACAGCGCCAGCAAAGTCGCCTCCGCGACACCGGAAGCGACGTTGCGCACGTCAGGGTCAACCACCTCTTTGCAGAAAAGTCAGGCGGGGGGGGCATAACGCCTTAACTGTGTCCCCAGTCTCAATCGAGCTGGTCGTAGCACAAAATTGGGTGGAGATCGAAATGCACTCCAGAATCCAGAAAAGACCTGGAAGTCCTTGCTTTCAGTCCAAACCTAATCCGCTCCCATCGGCATCCCATCGGCATCCCATCCGCACCTTGTTTAAATTTTGAATTCCCCTCCTCCTTCAACGCAGCGGCGCTCATGGCACGCCGCTCTTTTTTGCGGGGGTCTGTTGGTGTTGCTTCTCCGAGAACGCCGCTCTTCGCCTTTTGGAGAGGAATCTCCACAATAGCCCTTGTTCGAAAGTAATTAGCTACAAAAAGAACCATCTTCTTATGCATGGTGGTCACATGTTGGACTTGCTGATGGTGCTTCGGTTCCACCTGCTAAACCTTGAGGGTCAAGTTCCCTCGCCCTATGAGCCGCGGCTGGCAGGATTCACCATTCCTCAGAGCACCGCCTTGGATGGGATGCTCACCAAGACCCACCGTCTCAGTGGGCGAGAGATCGATGGCCGGATCGCGGGTCCTACTTGAGGGGGTCCAATGTATTGCAATACGGGTCATGTCTACATCAATAGCATCCAACTAAACCCAGATTCGATGAATCATTTGCAAACTCCATGGCAAGAGTGGCATCACTGCAGGTGGTTCTGGTTGAACTTCTGCTCGTTGAGACTCGACACAGGGCAAACTTGCCAGACCGACTAGGCAGACCGACCGTGCGTGCGTCGAAGGGAGAGAAGTGTATCCTGCGTGGCTATGGATCATGGCACCCCAGACAAAGAGCTCCTGATCCATATGAGAAAAGAAAAAAGAAACATTTCGGTCACAACCACCAAACTTGCGAAACACGTCGACCAGTCAAGCAAAGCGAACCAAAATGTTTACAAAAGAAAGATAAACCAACATCAATCAGCATTGGATGCTTTTGTTCACATAGAACATGGATGAACATGAACACATCATACACTTCCCACTTCCTGGATGCCTCTGGTGTGCATCACCTCTGAACCCTCACACCGGCCACAACGGCCCCACCACTGAAAAAGGCGCCTTAAAGAAGCCGAAGTCCGTGTAGATGCCGTCGCTGTCCGGCGAGGGGTGCTTGGCGGCCCTCGCCGGCGGAGCTTCAGATCCGGCCGGGACGACTCATTGGAAGTTCCCCGTTGGCCGGGGGGGGTCCCGATTCGAGGGTTCCCGATGCTCAAAGTCGAAAATCGTTCATGATACTTCACCCCCCCCCAAATCCTCAGGCAGAACTCTGGTCCATTCACCGACCAAGGGGGGGGGAGTCTACACGGTTGTTCGATTCTTAGAGTCCACACGGGGCCAGCAGGATGGATCACGATGGGTCACAGGGAAAAGACGGGAGGTCGCTGGTTTCTACAAACGCGTGCAGTGTGTGTCCCTTTGTCTGGCCCGGGCCCAGATTCAAGCCAATCAAGTGGCATCAAAGTGGAGTTTTTGAGGAAATGATTCTATCTGTTTGGGGATAGTCTATACTCACGGTTTCTGTTCAACTTCCGTTTCAATGCGAACAAACAAGTATGCCGAGCCTGCCGGAACAGGAATAGCACAGCTCCCGGCTCCCCCCCCCACCGTGTTGACGCAACAAGAGGCACCTGGCGAAACTCTCCTTCTCAAGACAGCAAATGAGGAAGCAAATCACCTGGAGCTGTTTGTTCGGCCATGTGTTGGTTCGGCATATCAAACGGGTCTCAGTGTCAGTCTCGGTCGCATCGCCGTCTCGCCAAGCCACCAAGAGGTATGTGGCGTCCTGCGTGAGGTATCTTCTGGCCTCCAAAAGGAATTTGCTCATCGTCTTGGCCCCAGTGTGAACTTCGCCAAGGACGAGGCCATCTACTTAGTGAAGGAGAACGGCCCCAGTCTACAGGAGACGAATGGCAAATCTCCCGACCCCAAGGGCCAAACCTCTCCAAAACAAAAAATTACAAATAAAACGGGTGCGGATTGTAAAAGGGGAACGGATCTGATCAATTTTCCAAACCTTCCAGGGAAGTCGGGACGCCTGGCAGGTCTGCCCGGCAGTTAAAAAATCCACACCCTAAATAAACCAAGAGAACGCCGCGGCAAAGGACTTCTCCGCCTGTCCCTTCAAGGAGTTCTCTGCCGTGATAACCGCCTCTTCGACCCCCTCCACGCGCCCTGTGATGTCCAACTCGTGCCTAAGCGCCGCAAAAACGAAGGAGGCACGTCCGTTGTTCGAAGCAAGTTCTGGGAACTGAAAGAAGGCGTCGAACAGCCTGTGCGAAGCGAAGAGAAAAGTGAAAAAGGTCCGCGGGGTCAGCCTGTGTTGCTCAGAATTTGGAGCCTTTTTGGAATTGGTTGAGTAAGAGGTTGCTGGATGGACCCGACCAAAAACCGGCCGAGTTCCAGCCGGTTCTGGCGAGAACGAAAAAACAAAAACGAAAAACCGCAGACATGTTCAGCCTAAACGTGTTCAGCCTGAGGCATGCATTAACACACCAGGGTGGCTTGTTCAAACACTAAAGCCTTTATCGTGGTTAGGAGGGAGGAGCCTGAGGAGCCCTCAATTCTCTTGAATCTTATGGTTTGCAGGTTTGCAAGATGTTTTGGCCCAAGGATCCACCAGAAACTCGCAAGAAATTGCATTGTTTGGATTATGTCTTTGTTTGGGAGTTCCAGTCAAGTGCGTTTTGCGTGCACTGCGCGATGACGCACGGCATATTTTCACGGTGCATCTCTACATGGTGCAATGGACCGGTGGCTACCACAAGTCCACTTCCAGTCCCAAAACTGTTTCGAAGACAAGGTTCTCTTGTGAGTTCCTAGACCCTCCCTCCACCCTAGAGAGGATATTTTCCACAAGGTACAGTAGCGTCGTCTGTCAACTTGTTGTCAACATCTTCTAAGCTACACTTGGTCCGCCCTCTTCCATCCTCCTCTGACTATGTCGCAGGCCCTCACGCTCAACCATCTCTGTTTGTTCGCGGGAATCTTCGTGGGCCAGCACGCATGCGAGACTCGTCAGGTTACCTTATCGCGTGCTCCGCTCCGCTTCTCCAGGGCCTTCTTTACCTCACACCCTATAGGCCTCCATCTCCATCTCCCAGTCCATGTTCTACTTTATCACCCCGGCCGCCACGTCCAGCCCCACTTGCCATGCGCGGCCAACACACACCGCGATACTCTAAAAACAGACTGGTGGGTGGAGATGGGCTCCAAAATGGCATTCCATGCCCACCTCCACCCAGAACACTTCGATCCCGTGTCTGTCAAAAGTTCTTTTGCTCAAAAAATAAAGTCTCTTTGCCCGCTTGAAACTGAGAGCTGCTTCGCCCCAAATCCTTTCCCTGCTTTGCCCGCTTGAAACTTGGGGGGCGCCTGCTCGGGCGTCGCCCACTGAGATCCCCCGACGCATCAGCCGACAGGCGCATGGTGACCACCTCACAGCCAAACGTGGGTGTGCGTGCATTTGAATGGGGATTGACCAAGAACCTCGCTGGGATCTGGGTTTCCTGGGGAACTCCTTTCGAGGTTCCCCAAAATGTCCGGAGACTGGTGGAAGGGAGACTGGCCCTGGCTGGGTAGACTGGTGGAGGTCTCCCACCTAGAGTCCTTTCGGTGGAGGCAAAACGAGTAACGATTCGGTTCCCCGGCAGCATGGATCGGGTCCGGCCAATGCAGCAGAGGACAAAAACAAACCCTATGTGCTGCTGCCTAAGACCTGAAGGCACCTAAGAATTGCACATGCAACAAAAAGAATGGGCCACAGCAACACAAACAGAATGGCACCTAAGATTTTTGGATCTGTGGCCCATGCCGCCCAATTGTCATTTGTATCAATGTTTGGATCAAGGCCCTCCAACCTTAAAAGGAAACTGAGAAATAAAGTCGGACCAATCAGATGTTGTATCCCTCCGGCACCTTCAACTTCGCTCCTCTGCGTGTATTTTATAACAGAAAACCAAAAGACTTCTCATTTGCGTGGAAGAATTTCCACACTCCCAACTCCCAGTGGGCCAATCTCAAGAAGGAGAGATCCACACCCCTCAGTCCTAAAGAAACTGCTCGAAACCCACCAGAGCCCAAAAGAAGAAACTCGGATGCAGCTGAGTGCCGTCGGTGTGGTGGAAAAGTACATCCTGGCGGAGAAGTGTGCACTGGTTTTTTTTTGCCCTCAAGGAGCCCTATTCTTGGCCACTGCATCAGCTTGGGCTTTTTGGGATGTGCTTCGCAGCTGCTTCGCAGCATCGGATCAGAGATCTCGCGAAGGAAGGTCCACGTATTTCAGCGGTATTTCGCTACAGCTCCAGAATGTGGGCCCTGATGAGCCCCCTTTTTGTCATGGGCTTTCTGAAGGAGAGCAAACTCCTAACAATATGTTTATGGACGATATATATATATACATATATATGTATATATATATATGTATATATAGTACAGCAAAACTGGCCCCTGGGAACCATGGCACCCTTCCTTTTGGTATGTGCCACCTAAAAGAGCTTCCAGAAGTGGACTCAACGGACAAGCCGAAGCCCAAAAGACGTGTCAAAACTGAACAATCAACGGCACAAAACAAACCTGAAAAACCATGCCGCGATGTCAGAGCAAAACCCCCAACCCCCAAGAGGGCGGTACATGCCAGCTTCACATCACCGCCATGAAGAAGGTTGTGCCCTGCGAGAGCCTTGGAACACGAGGAGAGTCAAGGAGAAAATGACCAAGGTCACCAGGTGCAGATTCTGATGCCAAAACTTTCACAAAGGAGTCCTCGGTGAATTCGTTGGCAGGTCTTCAAAAACCTGCCTTTTTGGACGAGGGCATCAGCTATTGTGGAAAGGAACACACTGAAATTGCCGATGCCCTCGGCAAGGGAAAGGTTCGCGAAGGCTGAATCCAACGAATTCATGTGTGAAGAGAAGTCATGTACCCTTTGAATGTCACAGCCACGAAGACAGGCAGATCGAACCAGGAAGGAAGCACCCAATGTCGACATCAACCTTGGCCAACACTCTCTTCTAAGAGTGAAGATTTGCTCTTCCCGCACTTCAAGAGAACGTCTTCTTGTTCTCCTCTCCACGGCCGGAGCGTCCGACGAACCCAACGAAGCATCGAACCATCGGATCAGGTCCTCGCGTCACCACAAATGGTGAGCCCAACGATCCACCATCGCTGCATGTGGTTCAGGGTCGGTCAATCCTTCAACGGTACTCGTCGCACCTGGTTTGTTAGCTGCTAGCGTGGGTTTGGGGCTCCAAAAAGAGGTCCAGCGTACCGGGACCTACAGCTTCCCTGCAAGAAGGGAACCCAGAATTTGACCCTACGTGGACTCCGCATGCCTGGCTGCCGCCAGGTTCGTCCTCTTCCGGGTGCCCGGAGGAGTCACTTCGTCCATCTCAGAAGCCCGATCTGACGTGTTGCTAGTACTTCCTCCAGCTTGAATCACCGGAGAGTGGTTCCCCACTCGAGTTCGGCGAATGACTCGAGTTCCGCATTAGACCTGCGGTTTGTAGAGAAAAAAGATGAAAAAAAGAACCCCCAAAACCAAAAAGAAGAACATCCCACCAGTTCCGAACATCGAAACCTGCACAGCCAAGCTGCTGGGCAATATTGATCGAGTTCATCCCTGGCGGAGTGGCCACCGGTCCCGGCACCGGTGGAGGGCCGATGTGCCACCAAAAAAAAAGGAGAGAAAAGAACGGAAGGTCTGGGAAGGTCGGCCGGCCTTGTTCTTTTTGTAGTTTGTCTCTTGCCATTCCGGTAGTTTGTTACTTTGTTCATATTCGGTTACTTTTTCGGTATTCCTTCATCTCTGAAAGCCCTCAGCTAGTATGCCAAGTAAGCCAAGTAAGCGAGTCCCAAGCCAATCTCATACGGTGGGCAGAGGTGACGCAAAGGTACCCAACTACTTAGTCTGTAAAGTAAAACCTCTGTGTGTGTGTAGATGTCTGTGTAACCCTTGGAGTCATAGGGATTCCGTCGAGTATGTTTTCCTAGGGGACCAGGCAGGGTACATTGTCGCCTGGTCAACGAAGCTGGCAATGTACTGTCCCACTTTCACGTACTTACAGAGTTGTGGTGTTTACAAGCTGTCACTCCACTGTCCACTAAAGGACTAAAGGGCTAACGCATTTGCAGACTTGAGCGCATTGCCGGTCACTTTGTCGGTCACGCATTGCCGGAGCTGGACTTTGAGACTTTGAACACTTTTGGCCTCCTTCCTTTCCAAGACCTCGACGTTTAGACCCCCGTACATGCTTTGTCAGGAATATGGGTACCTAGCTTGGCGAGCGGCAAACCGCAATCGAGGCAGTACGCATTTCATAAGTGCGTGTTTTCCCACTGCGCGCCACTTCTCCCCTCCGCGCCTGCCGTGCGCGTGGAGACGGTCTGAAACCTGGCGGCGGTGGGTCTCCGGTGGGTCAGACCGGTGCGGTCAGACCGGTGCCCTGAAGCTGAGACCGAGGACTCTGGTCCAAAGAGTAGAACATGCAAGGAGGCACGTCTAGTGACCTAGTGACGTGCAGCGTCCCCCCCAAAAAAAAAGAGAACGGACCTTGCTTTACTCTTTGATGATCCCAAGAACCTTAAGAACCTTGATCTCGCGTCCGCCTTCCGTCTTTCTACCAGGCGGATCAAATCCACCGCCCACACTTCGTCTCTTCGTCGGACGGACTGGGGCTCGGGGCAAGGCGTTGCCCATCTTCCCCCCCCGCATGGAGGTGATTGAAGGCCGGGCTATGCCAGTCCTCCCAAAAGCTCCCATTCGGGAGATTCCAGCTTACCAACCCGCAGAAAAGGCAGGCGCCGCCTCCTTTTCAAGGCGTGAAAAGTGCAAAAAAATAAACACATAAATAAATAAATTCACATGAACAGTAAAACAAAAAAACGAAAGTGCAGGTTACGAGCTGGCCCCACCATCTGAGATGGGTGTTCGTCATGTTTTATGAAATGAATGTTCAGGCTCAATCCAATCTCCATTTTCTTGAAAGGCCTTTTGGAACAGGTCAGTCGGCTCCAAAGCCTCAACCCTCTTGTCTCAACCTTCTATTCATCCATATCACGGAAACCCACACGCCCTTTTCCCGACAGAGGAGCCGCAGCTCACGCAGCTCCTGGACGAGGGTCACAATGGTGCCCAGGACATTCAAGGCAATGACCACCAACAAGAGCCACAAAGTGTGCACGGCTGGGAACATGTGCCTTGCTGTCACGCCCGAATGTCATGCCCTTGCTGAACCTCCACGCTGTTGGTTCATGTTTGTTCTATGTTTCCGGTGTTTTCGCTGGCTCACACCAAACCCAGCCAATCGTTGGGATGATTTGAGGAAAGAAGTCTTTGGTGCTTTAGTGTGAGCCAGACCCATGCAACTTAATATTTCCCAATACATCTTGGTCTTCTGTTGACCCTATCTTCTTGTCTAGAATCGACTGAACTTTAGCTAAAGGTCACCTAAGTCTAGGGCAGCATGAAACTCTCGAAAAAGCCTGAGGGCTGCACGTGAAACATCTTCTTGGATGCTCCAACAAAAAGTCCAACACCCGCTTGTTCTCCGATTGAGGCCTTACCGTGTACGGGAACGCGAGAGGACGATTCCTGGCAGGTGAGGTCACACATCCATTAGTACCGCACCATACACAAACACACCCAATGCAGGGTAGTCAAGGTATAAAATCCCAGAACTGCAATGGAAAATCAAGAAAACGTTTATCTTCAACTGCCTTCAACTTCCTTTGTAGTGAACTTCTGGAGGCCACCAATCCAGTGCTTTGTGCCACCTCTCCCGCACCAAGGGAAAAACCGCAGTGCTGCTAAAACACGGCATCCATCGTCGCCAGATGGTGGCAATCCAGCGCACCTGGCAGCGCGACACTCCCGCGCGTGTTCGGACGTGGAAGGCACCCCCGTGGCTCGGTATGAGCGCTCTTCCCAGGGCCTAGGCCATCCACTTCCAGGTCAGTTGGTCGGAGGGTACCGTCGCTCGCTCCAGAGCATTCCGGGGTCACTACGGTCACCACATACAGCTTCACTCCGATTTGGGGTTGGAACACTACTTTGACTCTCTGTTCGATGTAAAACGCCTGTGTGAGACCTGTCAGACTCCACTGCACGTGTTTCTCGAATCTCGAGCTTGCCAACCATGAACCAACGAAAGAGATTCACCCTCCATGGCCCATCTGCACCGACCAACAGCCAAAACAGCTTTGACCCCAGATCTCGGCCAAGCGCGCACCATGATCGGCAGACCAGTGTTGCCCAGCAAAATGAGCATCTCAGCGTCGAGCCGACGAGCTGGGGAAAGAAGGTGACGAAAAACAACGGATCTCAAAGAAAAAGTGCGAAGCCAGGCCAAGTACACGGCAAAAAGCCAAGTGTCACAAGAGTTCGACTGCGGCAAAGTACAAGCTCCTAAGCAAACTCGGCAAAGAAAGAATGTCCATCTTCTACACTCCCTGAAGGAATCATGGCCCCTTGGATTGACCATCTTCGCTCTCGGGGCCCGGGCCCCCACAGTGCTCAAGAGGAGAGGGCTATCAACATAGTCCTAGTCCGATGGCATGGCACTTGCCAAGAAAATTGGGTAGGTCGTGCATTGAGGAATCACTAGAAGATCATTGAGTTGCAAGAAGACCTTTCACCTGCTAAAAACAAAACTAGAAA